GATTAAAAATCACTCGATGAAAGAAACACGCGCGGACACGTTACTACACGACGCGACAATGCGACGATAATTACTCGGCGACTGCAAGTACCGCTGCTTCCTTGTCATGGTAGGTTGCGGTAGGTTAAGGTACTACTGGCGCTATCGAACGCGATCATGTGTTCGATTGAAGAATGCGTGGTAGACGTAAAGAATAAACATTTAACATATTAATATTATTATCATGAATGTGTGTGATGTCCATACATCGTATGATATCTATTTAAAAATTAATTAGATTAAATAAGTGTTTTTAAAATATTTATTACTTTTATACACCCATATTAAATATTAATATTAAATATTTATTTAATTATTTTATCTATATTATTTACTATTTTATTTAACTATTTTATTTAACTATTTTATCTTTAACTATTCTATTTATTTATTTATCTATTTCATCTATTTATTTTTAACTATTTATTATCAATGATCGAAAATCGGTCATTGATAATAAATAGTTAAAAATAAATAGATGAAATAGATAAATAAATAAATAGAATAGTTAAAGATAAAATAGTTAAATAAAATAGTTAAATAAAATAGTAAATAATATAGATAAAATAATTAAATAAATATTTAATATTAATATTTAATATGGGTGTATAAAAGTAATAAATATTTTAAAAATACTTATTTAATCTAATTAATTTTTAAATAGATATCATACGATGTATGGACATCACACACATTCATGATAATAATATTAATATGTTAAATGTTTATTCTTTACGTCTACCACGCATTCTTCAATCGAACACATGATCGCGTTCGATAGCGCCAGTAGTACCTTAACCTACCGCAACCTACCATGACAAGGAAGCAGCGGTACTTGCAGTCGCCGAGTAATTATCGTCGCATTGTCGCGTCGTGTAGTAACGTGTCCGCGCGTGTTTCTTTCATCGAGTGATTTTTAATCGCCAACAGTTATTATTCGACAGTGATTAGTGATAGAGTCATCAGTAAATTTCTCGTCTCATCGAGTGAATAAATAAATGTGATTACGTTAAAGTTTATAAAAGAATGCAGTTCATAAAAGAAGAAAAACTTTCAGTTAATAATTTAGTGTGGATTTCTGTCTTGTGCAACGTGATATCTACGTTAAATTTGAGAACGTACGATCTATCGGAAAATTCATTTCTCCTTCAAGCAATTACAGCAATACATCAGAAGTCATCGAACAAGGTAATAATAACTATTTTTTAACGTTATGTGAAAACGGATCTCGGGAAGGACAGAGGGACAGTGTGTCAAAGAAAATTCGCGAAAAGAGAGGGGTTTTTAGTGGGTAGGGAGTACCGAGTTGGTAATTCGACTTGGTACTCGAGTCCCACATAACTCACTGGATCGACCGGTGGGTATGCATAAAATGCATTTTCCCCTCTCGTAAAAAAAAAAAAAAAAAAAATACACGTGAGAGAGTGAGCGAATGAAAGAGAGAGAGAGAGAGAGAGAGAGAGAGAAAGAGAGAGAGAGAGAGACAGACAGACAGACAGCAGACAGAGAATGTATGTGTCGCATGTGTGTCTGTGGGTATAGCGATCAGCTGATCGCAGCAGGCGCCCCGCGTAAGCGCCCGCGTCTGACGGGTCTCGCGTCACCCTTGCCTGCCTCTTGTATCCGACCCGTCATGCGTTAACTTCTTTCTTTAATAATTCGAAAACTAAGCTTCGGACGAAATTTTGCAAAATGAAAAATCGTCTTAGAATTGACTCAACAATGTGTCATTTTACGGACACAGGGGTTATTTTGAATCACCCTGTATATACATATATATATATATATATATATATATATATATATATATATATATATAGATTTTTATGATAAAGTAAATAAATGTAATACATTTATTCCACAAAAACAAATTTTTATTACAAAATTTTTTATGAAAATATGGTATACAAATCAAAAGTATAAATATGTAACTACAAAAAAAGTGTGTTCTAATAATTAAATCATAAAATTTTGCATATTTTGCAATTAGTACATTATTTTACAATTACGTAATCATACTATATAATTTGCACGCAAGTTTCGAAAATGTTCCTTGATTATGAAAACGAATAAATATTAAAAAGCTCATCTTTTGTGTGCTTTTAATGTTATTTAATTTTCGCACGTTACGATAAATATTTTACGCAACAAATTCCACACTTTTTGCATTTACTAACAATATTATATCGCGCTAGCAATGCAATAAAAAAATCTTAATATTAAATCGTTCTAAAATTAGATAATAAAACACTATATAATATATATTTTTCATTATTTATATAAATGAATCGGCACTTTGTTGCGAGTCAAAAATTTTTAAATGTTTATTTGAATATTTATAATATTTATTTGAATATTTTATAGATTTATTATATTAGTATATTTAATAATAGATTCGGCTAACTTGATAAATATTTTTACAATAAAAATAAGTTGATCTATCTATAATTTTAAAGATGTGATGTAAATATTAATTTCTCTATTTAATAATATTTTGCAATTATATAATTTTTTTCTTCTTTTTAATAACTTATAAAAAAGCAACATACTCCTGAATAACGAAGCATGATTAATCACATAGATTAACCATGTTGTTGTCATGTTATCAATAAATAGATGCAACATGACAGTAATTTAGCAATTGTTTATCCGGGTTTATTTTAAAAATGAGCAAATAAACATTTAATTTTTATAAATATGTAGCCATTATTCAGAAATAACATTTATAAAAATTAAGTTTTGATTAATACGGGAAAATATTGTATATTTAAGAATGATGAGATTATACGAATTATATTGTCTTTTTATAATATATTTTTTATAATAAATTTTTTTATAAAAATAAAAATCTATTAAATATAGACTTTTGAAGAAAATGGATCTCTCAGTTGGACTTGGTTATAAAAGAAACTTTACCGTATTAGAGTAAAAAATTTAAATGCATAATATTGCTAAGATATTTGAACAAGTTTGCTTTTCTAAAATAAATATTGTCATGACTCTTAATTAATGTATACAATTATTGAATAGATAATTAAATAATTTTGTATTACCGACATCGTTACAGAATAAAAAATACTTCTATTGAAGCGGCGCTGGATTCTCATCGCTGAGGAATCGTTTAGTTTGTATGAGCAATTATTGATAAGACGTTAATTCTATCTTATCGATATTCGGCAAAAAACTTTTTACAAGAGTATTCTTATATAATAATTTAAATATCTTCAACTTGAGATATTTCTCCATCGTATGTTATGATTTGAGCAAGATAATATTTTCTAAAGTTTAAATTAACGATTTAAAAACTTTAAACAATTTTTGTTTTATTTATATTGCAAATAATTCCATTTATCATACATATCTTTTGTATAAAATTTCTAACAAAAATAAATTCTTATTATTCATCATTTTATGATGATATTTATTATATATATTAATATATTAATATTATTATATATATTAATATATTAATATTATTATATATATTAATATATTAATATTATTATATATATTAATATGATATTAACAGAACAAGGTACATCAAAATATATATGTGTAAAATGTGTAAATAATTACATATTTAATGTAAATAATATGTCATTGATATTATTATAATCTACAATATTTAAAAATAAATTATAGTATAACTACATATAATAACACATAAGTATATATATACAGGGTGGGGCATTTATCTTGAGACAAGATAATATCTCGATTGGAGTCGATTATTTTGAAAAAAGTTTTAGACAAAAGTTGTATGGTTTCAAGGGGGACATAAGATGGTATCATTAGTTTGATCTTGAAGAGCCACCTGAAGGACACGCGAAGGTCAGCTCCAACTTTTAAATGGGACACCCTATATGCTTTTGCATATTCTTGTAGCTCATCTCAAGAGCTTTCCAAAACACTATAATTAAGTTAGTTTTCATTAAGTACTTTTCAAGAAAAGACATAGTTATTTTTAAGAAAAAATATGTAATTGTTAATTGCAAATTACATTTTTTTTTTCGAAACAACTATGAGTTTTCTTTACACCAATTGATTCTTCTCATTATTTTGTACATAAAAGTATTAAGGTAAAATAATCGAAAAATGAATATTTTACAAGATATTTTACGGTTTATGTAAAATTAAAAAATGATTTCAAGCTTCATAACTCGAAAAGTACTTAATGAAAACTAACTTAATTATAGTGTTTTGGAAAGCTCTTGAGATGAGCTACAAGAATATGCAAAAGCATATAGGGTGTCCCATTTAAAAAGTTGGAGCTGACCTTCGCGTGTCCTTCAGGTGGCTCTTCAAGATCAAACTAATGACACCATCTTATGTCCCCCTTGAAACCATACAACTTTTGTCTAAAACTTTTTTCAAAATAATCGACTCCAATCGAGATATTATCTTGTCTCAAGATAAATGCCCCATCCTGTATATATATATATATATATATATATATATATATATATATATATATTCTTACTAACATTTTTAATAATCTTAAATAAAATATATAAATGTAAATCTAATTTTGTATGACAATAATATATACATTATATATATAAAATACAAAATTAATATTTACATTCATATTTCTTAATGTTATTAAAAATGATTTAATATAGCAAATTTGTAGATATACATATGCAGATATGTATGATAAAAATGTATTATAAGTTAGGTATAAAATCTCTCCTTGAAAGTATTTTGGTAGAAAACTTGTGTTGCAAAATATGATAATTCAATTTTAATTAATGTACCTAGTCACATATTACATATTAAAATTCATTTCACAAATTTTTCAAAATTTCGTATAATTGAAGAAATGCATCTGTACTTTTAAAGAAATAATAATTAAATTGTCTAGATCGTGCCTAATTCGATAAAACTGTTAAAAATCACTCTCGTAAGTCAATCGGCACTCAGCGTAAGTATGTCAAATCTTTCCTCCTTTTCCTACTGGCATGCGTTAACCTACTTTCGTAACTAGCATTGCAGAAATATCGGCGGATTCTTTTTCTTATGTGTTAATTACGGTATTTATTACAATTATGTTACAGGATTTAATATGTATTTCTCTTGATAAATCATCCTTGGAGAAATATTCTATTCGCGCAATTACAGTCTTGCGAATAGAAAAACCACGCGTTAAGTTTTTCAATCCGACTTATTGTTAGCTATCTCGTCAAAAATCGAATTACCATTGACGGAAATGAAGCCATTGGCAGTGATACGTACAATATTATTAGTTTTCGATTTCTTCGTCATTTTTGATTGTTTATCTTTCGATTTCACATAATTATTTATATAGAACGATCCGAACATGTATATAAATAGACCGGAGTTGAACACAAGTAGGAATGAAAGCGGTTTTGGGAAATTGCAACTGGTAAATAACATCTGGAAATTGTGGAAGAATATTATAATAAATTGGACGATCTGAATAGTGGTCAAATACCGTTTCCACCAGAGATATTTCTGCATATGCGGTCCAAATGCTGCTAGCATGTAATATATGTACATGAAGATATGGATGAAAGAGTTGATGACACCAAGGAGAGTTGGATGACCGCCGGCGAAAAACTTGACACCGATCCAAGCGCAAACCGGCATCATCGAGTGATGATAGAGATGTAGAAAAGAAATTTGACGATCCTTTTTGCGCATCACGAAGAATACGGTGTCCAGAAGCTCGATCAGCTTGCATATGAAATATATGTAAACACCACGGGCCATCTATGGAACGACATAATTACGTAAAGATTGAGCGGAACATAATGGTACATGTAATTATAATATTAAGTGACATTTCCTTCACGGAGAACGAAAAGTTCTTTCATTTGACGCGCGCTTGGATATTTTACACAAGTACAATTTAAAACTGTCGCAATCATTGCAAAAACAAATAATTCGTCATCTTTTTACGATTACGAAATCTATTGTAATCCATGGTAATATTTAAATTAAGATAGAACTTCTTCTCAGACTTTTTAGTCATTTTCTTTATATAAATATTTAAATATTAGTATCTTTCCTTAGTAAACTCTAATAAACTCAATATTTAATATCTACGAAACTTAAGTCTTGTTTTGCGATATCAAAATATTCAAAATACTGATACTATTTAAGTAAACTGAATCTTTTCCAGAGTCTTATTATCCCTGTTTTAACCGCTAATATATAAAAAATTACTTAGAAATATTGCAAAGATGCTATATGATTGCAATAAAATGCGTTTCAAAATTAATTATAATATATTATTATATGTACAATATTATGTTATGCGAGAAAATCAAGAGTACATTTATGCAAGAGTCTTGCATAAATGTAATCATATAATACACATTAATTTATTATAATAAACTTTCTCGCACTGAAAAATAAAACTTTAATCAATTAGGAAAACTTGTCGAGATAATTCAACAAATAAGAAATTATAGAGACATTTAAATTTTTGCCTACTTTTGCCGTGATAATTATTAATAATTAATAATTATTAATTCATCAGTCGTATAATATACGTTAGATTTTATATGCAAATACCTGAGCTACATGCGCGAGCATAGTGGACGAATTATTGTAAAAATGTTACAATTATTGATTTAAAAAATTAATGTACAGAGTTTTTAACGAAGCCATGACTAGTGGGAAGTTAATAAATTATTTACTTATTTTATTGTTGCTTATATCATCTTTTTTGTTTTGTTCCAAATATATTTTTCAATTTCACTTAGATTAAAATCAATAATTTGATCTAAATCTTTTAAAATTTTTCACGTGACTTCTATACACTTCGTCATCTTTTTTGCTTTCTTCTGAAATGGGAAGTTCAAGCTTAATACATAAAAAAGAGGATGATATTATATAATCCCATTTCATTTTTAATACATTACAAGCTTTCAATATTATAGGAAATTTGTTGAAATGTTTCATTTTCATGTCTCTACAGTATCTCTGCAACTTTATACTATAATTATGCAGTAAAATATTCTATGTCATATGATTTATTATCAGAGATTCATTTCGTTAGCAATGACTTAAATCTCAAACTTACCCTTACAGAGCTCGGTTTGTACGAATAATCGACCGGTTGACAAATATAATTATATTCATATAACCAACCAGCCATTAACCCCTCGTGAACCAGATAAACACTTAATAGGATCTGAATAAAGTTGTAAATTATCATAGTATTCTTTAATTCATACGGCTTCTTGTTTTTCATGTATCTTGGTCCGGCGGAAACACAGAAGTATATGTACGTCGCTACAATTGTCAGAGTTGGACCAGGACTAGAAACCAGAAACCATCCTTCTGTTCTCGGATCTAGAGAAATGTAAGTAAAATTAAACATATGTATAATATTATTTTTTTTAAATATAAGAATCTTTTCTTGTTGTAAAATTACCTTGTCCATTGTTTAGTACATTTCTATACCACTCCACAATGCCCGACATCTTGCAATCTTAAAACTTGAAAATCTGCAAAAATATGTTTTATAAGTTACTTCAAAATTTCAAAAAATTTAATTGATTTCTAATAATTGTATATTTTTTTCTTTCAGAACTTTAAAAGTAGAAAGAATGTATTTTTTTCATATTTTAATAACAATTGAAAGACATGATTTACAAAAAAGTTATTTTATAATATTTTTAAACAAAATAATAGTAACAATAAAATATTTATATAGAGAATTTAAAAAAAATATTTTATTATTACACATATCATTATATATATATATATATATATATATATATATATATAATGATAATCATTACATTTGATATATATGTGTGTGTGTGTGTGTGTGTGTGTGCATTTAAAAAAGATATTTTATTATTACACATATCATTACATATATATATATATATATATATATATATATATATATGTAATGATATGTGTAATAAAATTAAATTAGCCTTTATGTTTTTAAAATTTATAGAAAAGTGAAATATTTGATATATATATATATATATATGTGTGTGTGTGTGCATTTAAAAAAGATATTTTATTATTACACATATCATTACATATATATATATATATATATATATATATATATCAAATATTTCACTTTTCTATAAATTTTAAAAACATAAAGGCTAATTTAATTTTATTACACATATCATTACATATATATATATATATATATATATATATATATATATATGTAATGATGTGTAATAATAAAATATCTTTTTTAAATGCACACACACACACACACACACACACACACACACACACACACACACACACACACACATATATATATATATCAAATATTTCACTTTTCTATAAATTTTAAAAACATAAAGGCTAATTTAATTTATGGTTAGATACAACATTGATGCTGTAAAGAGTGTAAAGTATTACAGTTGTATGACATGCACATTAATCATATGTTGAAAAGTATATGATGTGTTGCCCTCTGTTTGTCTCTTTGCTCATTCTTGATTATCCTAATGTGAGCTATCATTACACGGAAAACGATAACATGAGAGATGTGAAGTTATTTGAGTCTTTCCTAAATTACAGCAAGCAATTACGACGGCCGTGAGATGCATCTACATGTAATTTCAAGTAATATCATTCAGTGAGATGTCTGCGAATGTTCGCGAAACTTATCATTATATTCGAACCTTCGAGTTTCTTTGCAAAAATAAATCAAGGATAGATTTTTATATCAATTAAATTTTATTATAACTCATTTACTACAACTTTTTAGTTTCTTTTCTTATGTTTCTTTAAAATACCAATTTGAAAATTTGCTGACATTGAAAAAAGCGCGCGACTCTAAATCTATAATTTGCAATTTTTAATTTAATGTTAATATTTAATATATAATAATATGTATAATGTTTAAAATAAACTTTCCAACAAAATTGTTAGGTAAGCTAGAGATTGTATGTAATGATTCTGATGGTCTCATGCTCCGTTGTCATATTACAAAAGTTTCTACGTCACAATGAAATTAATGAACGAGGATTTAGGTTAGCACGAATAGAGGAATTAATTTTCTATGTAATTCTATGTAATTTTCTATGTAGTTCAATGTTTACGAATGTTTCTTTCTTAGTGTAATCTTCTTAATGTTACCAACATTAGCTAATCATGGACTCCCTTTACCTTTGCAAAAGGTTGTCATGATTGAGTACATCAAATAATATGAATCATTCTCATTCATAGGATTCTTCACACTGCGAAACCGAAAACGAAATACAAAACCAATCAGACAAAAAATGAAGAATAAAAAAACCGGGAAAGTCTTTTCAATCGAAAATCTTTTTAATCATTTTTTTAGTTAACTACAATTTTTTCTTGTTATCAAAGATCAAAATTTTTTCCTGTATCATCGAATTAAATGAAATGATGAATATCTTTTAGGCTTACTCTCTATAAAATCTATGAACATTAAATATACGAAAATTTCTTTTGTTTTATGGAATGTCTCATTTACAAGATAAGAGATCTAATGAGTGTTACATAAAAATAAAATCAAAGCTAATGTCAGCAAAAATTCGTTGCAATTATGTTCATTTAAAATTTTGACTTTGATTATCCGTTATCGGGTCAAAGATCTTTCTAAAATGACAGGTTTCGGGCCTTGTTCGGTCCAAGGTGAACGAGATTTCTGAATAGCTTCAACGAAGTTAATGTCCTCCTTTGTTAATTCTTCCACGTAAGGTATATTAGCGGACTTCCCCAATGATCAATCTTATTTTCCGTTGCATCGTGATCTTTATTAAAGCTTTGCAAGAATATTGAATGAATCATTATTTTATGATATACATATACACTTATACATACATATATAGATGCATATTTATAGTATATACATGTACACAGAGAGAAATATTTCTTTGGATTTAACAAATTTTGTTGAAGTCAAATAAATTTATTTATTGAAATAGTCCAACCAAATTAATATTCGATTTAACAAATACGATTGTTTGACTTTCAAATAACGTATATGTTTATTTTAAATAAAATTTTATCTTAAAGGATTTTACTTTCTCTTTGACTTTAACCTCTAACAATTATATTAACCCACACAGCATCATGCCATCTAAAAGATTTTTTCTATCTGATTTCAAATAATCTGTTTAATATTCTAAATCCCAACAAGGAATCCAGATTATTAAATAAATTATTTTAAATGCAGTTTATTATTTTAAATTCAGTTTGAAATTAAACAGTGATACGTCAGAAAGAGGATGCTCAACGTGCACATAATCAGAAAACCTGCATGTGAGTAGCATTCTCTTTCTCGTAGAGGGAAAAAATATACTTTAGATTTTATTGTTTAATACTAGTCCTTTATATACATTTCATGATAAATATTGAATACGAGAAAAGTTAAGACTGATGCGCCGAGTAACGGCAAGCAAAGAAACATATGCCACATACTATTGGCTATTCCAAATAAATTAATTGAAACAAACAACTCTTACTTGCATCAGTATTAATTCAAATAATTGTCATTTTTCTGTTAAACAATATAAATTAATGCAACAAAACAATCAAATTTTTATTCAAACAAATAATATTTGTATAAAATAATTTTTTCTTTAACGAGACAAATATAAGTCAAACAAATAGATATACTAAATGTAAAGAAATACTTTTCTCTGTGTACTTTTTTCTACGTGTGCTACGTGTTCTACGTGTTCTCTGTGTACATGTATATATATGTAAATATGAATTAATGTTTAAAATGCTTTTTATTCATGCTATTTATTTTGCTATATTAATTGTTCCGTTTCCTTTAATTCAATATGGTAATGGTAAATATGATTTCCATAGGATTATTGGAAGTAGAATAAAAAATTCGAGAACATACAACACACATAAAAAATATAGATGCATATGGAAAAATACAGAGCCGGATTTAAAGATGTGGAAACCCTGAGGCAACGAAGAGGTGGAGACCCCTAACCATTTTTGAACAAATTTTTACGTTGTTTAAATAATTTATTGCGAAATAACAAGCAAGCAAGGTACATTGACCTTGTAAGTGTTGTACCATTCGATAGGAAATTTTACCCAAAAATGTGTTGTCGAGGCCCTCCTCTTGTGGAGGCCTCTGGGCTTCGGCCTCTGTTGCTCCCCCCTCCCCCCCTAAATCCGACCCTGGAAAAATATATAACAGTTTAACAAATACATGTCACAGTTTATTTATATATGCTAATGTTAAAGTGAGTATATATATTTGAAAAATATATAATATAAAGTCTATAAAACATAACACATATGTATGTATAATGAGTCACAGTTTATGAATGAGATAATCAATATAGCAAAAAAAAGACAATAATGCAAGTAATGCTTTTTTTTAGAGAGGGATATTTTCATATTGTTTTTAAATAATAATATATTACATGTTTGTTTCTACGAATGATAAGTTTTATATTATATATTATTATTATTATTATTATTATTATTATTATATATATATGCGCTTCCGAATCTTAATTTACATTTGCATTTGTATTATATATAGAAAATTATATAAAACAATATATAAGTAAAACACTTTTATGAATATTAATTTCTGAGTATATATTTGTTTGATTTTATTTATTTAGTTAAAATATATAATATTTTGAAAAAAGAAAAAATATTTTGTCATTTTTATTTATGTTTGATTATCGGTGTAGATAAGTAATACAAATACTAATATTTTTAAAATGAATATCTGATTGTTAATAATCGCGTCTATCTTCTAAACACACGAGACATTCATAATTCAATCCATAATATGAAAATAATACGATAATGAAGTAAGCATGTCGCAAACGACCAGCTAGTTATTACGTTATCTTATGAAATTATTATTACTAGTAAATTGTCATTCAACAACGGGTTTTGAAAGAAACAATCAAAATCTTTGAAGGACATTAATATAATTAACCAAATTAATATAATTGACCAAATTTTTGTGGCTAACCATAGTTTCCCTTTCTAAAAAATGCATGTAAAGTCGATTACTCGAATATATCGAAGTTTATTGTTGTCGCTTTTCCGTAATGCCGATTGGTATTTCTTTTATTGCGCTCAATTCATGTTGAGCAGCTGTCATTTGCGATTATTACAAATTTTGACAGCTTGTGTGACAGTGAGAAATGTATAATGAAAGGAAATAAATGGCGCACGCGAAGCGCGCGCTTTGCGTTGTCTATATATATATATATATATATATATATATATATATATATATATATATATATATATAGTATAGTATATATAGTATAGTATAGTATAGTATATATATATATATATATATATATATATATATATATATATATAGTACGACAAAAAAGACAAATTCTCCTTCTTGTAGAATATATTATCTCACATTGCTATTCATATACGTTGATGCTACTTGCAAAAAATGCATTTTTGACTCGATTCTCTCTATTCAAAGTTTATTTTATTATTCAACACATCTGTTATTTAATTTAATAGAATTGAAAAAAAT